CACACACACACACACACACACACACACACACACACACACACACACACACTTTTGACAACTTCAACTGCTTGCTCGTATCGCTTCAAACAAGCCACATATTTTGCTCCCTACAGAGGCACAAGTATTACCGTACAGAGGAAGAAGGACTCGACATTATTTACTAAGGTCACAGGAGACGAGGTCGACGAACTACTTACAAATCGCCTGTTAGGGGCATCTACAGATTTCCTGTTGCAACTGTCGGCCATCAGCATGGGAAAATAACATGCGACCACCGCTGTGGATCAAAAAGAAATGCCATGACAATCACTGATCAAGGAACCGATCCCGTAAGCTACCTCTCCCCGTAAGCTGAAACTAGAAACTTGTGTTCAGTTAGCGTTGGCTCCTTTCCACATCAGGTCGGATTCGAAGTATGTAGCAAAGAAAGTATTTCATTATGTAGCACATTATTCTGCGAACATACAGCAACAACGAAATGGATAACAGCCGCTACGCGTACCTCATGCATTGTCAACATTACAGCGCTACATACTTCACATATACTACTTAACGGTGGATCGAAACCTCACTGACTGACCAAGCTGTAGCTTCCAGTAACGGACGGGAAGACCACTCTGCAGTGGTAAAACATGTTACGAAAAAGTTCATGCTATTTACAGTAGACAAGCCAAAATTTCACGCGGTACACCACTACAGGCGCCTGTCGATACTATTTCAAGCAAATTTATCAGTTACGACATTGGCTTAAAGAATTACCAACATAACCAAATTCTTCCTGTTTTCTTTCTTCTCTTTTTCATCTGCCCTTTAGTACTGTTCTTTTAAACTGTTTCCTATCCGATCACTCTTTCTGATATTCCAATAACCTGTACGGACTCTTTACTGCAATACCCGCATTTATTGTTGTCATGCTGACAAAAAAACACCGTGCTGGGGCTTCAGAAAGAATAATGCATAATAAAGATTTTAATTTTAGGCCTACTAACGTGTGTTAGCGCATTCGTTTGGGCTATGAGTTCCAGAAACGTCTATCAACACTTTCTGCTTTACCAGGATCACGAACTATTCTCACTTTTAGCGAAAGAATACTGCGGACAGTAACAACAAAAAAACGAACAACGTCTTGAAGGAGTGATAACAAGTGGGGCAAATCAAAGAACAGAATATTACCATATTTGGTTCGATTGATTTCCAGGTGCTGCTGCGAATTTCGATAAACGCGAATCACAAACCAATTCTGTAAGCATAAGTAACGTCAAGATCAAAGTCAGGACGAAACAAACAAAATCAAAAACGAAAAATAAAAACACTTTTGCTGCTGATGAAAAGTCATATGTACCGTTGACTAATTTCTTAACATACACGATTACGGTACTAAAATGAGCGTCACGTATGATATATATAAGATATATGATAAAATATTTTCAGAGGGAGTCTATGCCATTCGTCACCATCGTCTGAATAAGACGTAAAGCTTTCAGACAAGATAATAGGAACAGCTAACTAATGTTATTTATCATTATCATTATTGCATCACGGCACACTTGTGATATCTGCTCATCTCCACTTATTTTGCTTTG